GATGCCCTCTTCTGACCTCTGTGGGAACCAGGCATGCACATGGTACACAGATATACATGCAGGCAAAATACTCATATATAGAAAGTAAATAAATCTAAAAAATGTTTAAAAAGAAAACAAAACCCCTACATACTTGATACATCTAAGCATGCCAGCAACATTTGGCTGTATTTGCCTTAGTTTTTGAAGAGTAAGATGTGACCTACAATTCTAATGTTACTGATGATAACTCTCCTCCATCCAATTATTCTCCCTTCAAGATCAACTACTATAATGAAATTGTTGTATATACAGTTATGTCTGATTGTACTACTTAGTGAGTGAATATAATAAATTATATTAGAGTTGTTTTTATAAATATTAAGCAAAGCCTCTAACTCCTTAATCACTGTAGCTGGGTATATTTTGACAGTTATTTTACCCCAGAACTGTGCAAAGCGTGTGGGGTTCTTTTCGGCTATTATGAATTTGTGCATATCTGTTTAATTCCCAACTCTTGGCTTCTTCGTGTATATGCCTACAGGAAGACTGAGTCGTATGGTAATCCTGTGTTCAGGTTTCCGAGGCGCCTCCCATTTGCACACTGCTCAAGTGTCATGGTGCTCATCTCCAGAACACGTGAACTAAAAGTGTCACCAGCAATTAGAATATCTGTGATAATCCAATTTTAACATGGGTAAGGAATTTTAATGCTCAAGTAGTTGTTTCAGAAGAGACAATATTCAAATGGCCAACAGGCTAATACAGAAATGTTTACCAACTAAATGTCACAAGGTGATTGATGCATAAAAAAAAGTGTGGCTCATAGATGCACTGGAATATTATTTAACCTGAGAGAGAGAGAGAGAGAGAGAGAGAGAGAGAGAGAGAGAGAGAGAAAGAGTGAGAGAGAATATCTTAGCATTTGTTACAATAGGGGTGGCTATACAGGGCATTCTTATGTTAAGCAGAAAGACAAACATCACAGGATTTCACTCGCATGTGGGCCATTCAACAGCTAAGTTCAGAAAGGCACAGAGTAGAACATGTTTGCTAGAAGCCAGAAAGAGATGGGTCTTGGGAGAAATTAGTCTAATATCACATTAGATAAGAAGAGTGAGCTCTGCATTCTGTTACCCAGAGGGTAATTTCAGTCTGAAGAAGATTGCATCATATCATTCAAGGTGCCAAAGGGCCTTGGTGTTTGAATGTTTCTATCAAGAGGAAATGTAAGTCCTTGTGGTGGTACACAGCCCAAGTATCTTGAATCACCGGTAGAAATGCACTAGTCACCAGCTATACCCCATGAAGACACGCTGTTATTACTTGTTCAAAAACTGAGCAAGCTCTCTATTGCTCCTGCTACCTGGCTATGAATATAGAAATAGGCACAAAATATATAAATACAGGGGAAAGTGACTTCTCCTGCCCACTTTCCAGATGTAGTATTCCTGGAGAGCTTTATGTCCCCCCAGACTCCAGGGAAAGAAGAATGCTGATAGTGCCGAGTGTCTAAGGGAAGCTATTTACAGGAGAGAGAGCTTTACAGACACAAGGAGGAAGAAAGTAGGAATGGTGACAATGGGTAAAGCAAGGAAGATGAGGGGGCACATGGGCTTCTCCTTAAATGTTGGTACATTAAAGAGGATTTAGAAGCTGCACACCAAGAAAAGAATCAGTACTTACAGGTTGGGTTACAGGGGGATGGAGTTCAAAGTGGTAAAAACACCCCTGAGAGGTGGAGAGGCCAAACCGTGGCATGACGTCTGGTCAGCAGTGTGCCACACAGAGCAGGGCTGGAGTTGAGGAAAGGGATTAACACAGAATCGTATTTGTACTGAGCAGGCGGTGGAGGGGTTTGAAGGAAGACATGCCTGTGTACACTGCACTCAGCAGGGGCCTTCCCTTTCCAGGCCACTGCTGCTGATGCCATCCTTTTCAAATAGTCCCTTTCCTCTATCAAGGATGTTTTAATTATTATTTTTAAGATTTGTTTACTTATTACGTGTACTGAATTCTGTACTGCATATATGGCTGCAGGCCAGAAGAGGGCACCAGCTCTCATTGTAGATGGTTGTGAGTCATCATTTGGTTGCTGGGACTTGAACGAGGGACCTTGGAAAGAGCAACCAGTGCTCTCAACCTCTGAGCTACCTCTCCAGCCCTAACAGGAATTTTTAAGAGATGCTCTCTAGCCTTTAACTGTGGCCTTCGGAAAACTACTTTCCCTTTCTGAGTCTTAATTTGTAAACTATGGCTAGTATTTCTAATCACTACTTCATGGCTGATGTCCAAGACTTACTAGCCCTCCTGGGGTCCTCAATTCCATTCTGACCTGCTTTGCAGTCTGAGGTAGTGGTTTCCTTTGGGGATGTATTGGCTATTGGAGACTCTCAGAATCTCTGCTGATCTCCTTCAAAGCCAGCTGACCCCGGTCCACATCCCATGCCTTATGGTTTACTTACAATGAGACCACAGGAGGAGGTTGTCTTCAGTTTAAACACTTTAGGGGAAAGGAGGGCCAGCCACTTCAAGAGATAGGTCACTCATCTTTGAAAGCTCTGCTTCTTCCCTTTGTTCAGGTAAAGGGTTCTCTTAAGACTCAGCAGGCTTTAGGTTGATTCAGCCTTGGTGTCCTGGTCTCTCTCTCTCTCTGTATACACTGGGATATGTAGGGGAGGATGAGGCAGAAGCGTGATGAGCAGGAACAACAGAGTAAATGGAAGCCGGGTACTGTACTCTACGGCAGCAGCTGTGTGTCACCAGCGGAGGTGGAGATGGTGGGGCTGCTACTGTCACGTTCTCATCAATCTTTCAGAACCCCAGTCCTCTCTCCTCACCACAGCCTCTTTTTCCTGCTAGTGCGGAAGCTTGTAGTAGGCTGTACCTCTCCAGTGTTGTGTATTGTACGTGGCTCTGGCTGCAGCTAATGGATCCACAGGGCATGCCTGTGACTCTACTTCATTCACACTTTTCTCCCCTTTCCTGGGAACTTCTGAGGCAACCCTCGAGAACAAAGGTCCACAAAAGAAAACATCTGTGTGTTCTTGTGTATCAGGTCCTACCTACGGCATGTTTGCTCAGTGAGTGGGGTGAAGTTCATCCTCTTCCTGGCTTTCCTACCTCCTGTGTTCCCTCAGCATTGGCGGGGGAGCAGGGAAGGGCAGCTCCCCAGTAGGAACACCGAAGGAATCTCCATTGCTGGTGGACATCACTCAGAATTTTCTTGAGGAGCCAAGGAGCTGTGGCAAGTTTACACAGCACCCATACGAACTGTCTAGCCAGGTGTGTCACTGGTTGTGGGACACACCATGATAGATAAGGGCAGATGGGTCATACAGCTCTCTGTGTGGTCTAAGAAATGTCACAGCTGAGATCTTAACTGCTAGTATTTGGTTCTGTGATATTTAAAACAGAATAACACCCTGTCCTATGAGCCCAGGATTTATAAATTAATGTAGTATTTCAAAATTTGTTATTTCTTGCTGCATCATTTTTTTTAATGTGAGGTGTCATTGTAGATGCCTATCATGTGTTACTTTGTCTGAGAACTGTATCTAGGAAAACTGCCCATTGCTTCCCAGTACACAACCACCCCACTCTCTGAGAGAACTGAAAGGGACTCCTGAGACTGTCACATGATGCCCATGTTCAGATAAGCATGGCACTCATTATTCCAAGTGGAGCTTTGACCACAACAGGGGTGTGTTTAATAGTTTCCAGGGTAACACGCATAAGCTGGGTCTGTTATAGAAAATTCGAGATGCATAGTCATTCTCAGCATTAGGGGAAGGGAAAAGGGAGGAAATGAACATATTTAAACAAAGCGGTATGTGTGCTGCACTGAGCATATTTTGGCTGATGCTGGATGTATAGGCTTAGAGAAGTAGTACATTTGCTCACAGTGAGGGCTAGCGATTAAGAGTACTCTCTGAAAGTACATGTCTAATGTATCCACTCATATGACAAACATTTACTGAGCACACACACACACACACACACATCACATGATTAACTGCTGGGATTGAGCAGTGGTGCTCTTATGTTAGCAGGAACCTAAAATTAAACAATTATCTATGCATCCATCCGTCCATCCATCCATCCATCCATCCATCCATCCATCTATCCTTTCATCTATCAACTAACTACCCATATATTAACTATTATTTACTTAATACTAAATATATTATGTCAATCTATTTCTCATATATATACTCATTCATTTGTCATTTATCACTCTTTTACCTATCCATCTATCACCTTAATATGTTAAGTGATTTTCTGTTTTTTTTCATCCATTTATTTTCTATCATCTATGTATATGTATCTATCATCTATTTATCTTCTACCTAACACTAATTATGTTAATCTCTATCTATCATCTATTTGCTCATCTACTCACCTATCTATATAATTTCATAAGCAGCTGGTAATGCCTGTGACAAAAAGGAACATAGCAGAATAAGGGAGCAGAGACTCTTGGGCAACATTGTACGGCTGAGCAAGCAAGGCCTTCAGAGCAAGTCATTTGAACAGGTGTCTGCAGGAAATGAAGGCACGGCCATGTGGGTAGCAGAGTGAGAAGTGGCGAGGTGGCAGGAGAAACAGATATAGCAAGCTTCTAGAATGCAGGGAAGAGCAAGAGGAGGGGTCCTCAGGTTCAGGAAAGTGGCTCCACCCCAGGGGTGGGGTGGAGGCTGAGGGGATGAGGCCCAGAGTAAGAAGGACTGCATTGTGGGGATCCTTGGAGGCTCTGGATTGTACCCTGAGATAGGAAGCCACACAGTGATATGAATAGAGGAGTCACTGATCACTTTTACTTTCTGAGGACAGCACAGTGGGGTGCACTCTGAGTCAGGGTTGTAGAGGAGGGAGTGGAGAGTGGGACAGGTTCTGGATATGTTCTGATGGTACAACCAGTATGTTTTCCAGTTGGTTGGCTGTTTAATACTAGAGAAAGATGGGAGTCGGTGCTGATGCTCAGATATTTAACCTACGAAGCCCCTTAAGACCTTTACCTTGTGCTCACTTTGGTAGCACATGCTCTAAGAAAATTGGAACATGCAGGGAAGATTAGCATGGCCCCTGTGCAAGCTTGACCCACAAATTCATGAAGTGTTCCAAATGGGCTCGGTGGTGCATGCCTTAATCCCCACACTTGGGAGGCAGAGGTAGGTGGTTCTGTGTGTGTTTGAGGCCAGCCTGGTCTACAAAGTGAGTCCAGGACAGCCAAGGCTACACAGAGAAACCCTGTCTCAACTGTTCCCCCCCCCCAAAAAAAAACAACTTCATGTTGGGATGGTGCTCTTTTAAGGTGTGGGGGTTGAGGTGGGGAGAGATCTTAGAAAGAACTTGATGGCAGGGTGTGTCGGCAAAGATCCAGAGATCTGTTGTGGGCACAATAGCTGCCACGGTGCCTGTTTGGCTTCCAAGTAGCACTTGCTTTATCTTTCCTGATATGTCTTCTTTTTATGTCAGGATCTCATGTTGCCATGTTTGTCCTCAAACTTCTGATGTGGCCGAAAATGACCTTGAACTCATGATACTCTTGTATCTACCCTTGAGACATGGGACTATAACATTTGCCACCATGCCTGGTTTATGCTGCTTTGGAGATCGAGCTGAAGGATTTATACAAGCTAGGTGAGCACTGTACTGACTGAGCCACAGCCCACTCTCATATTTATACTGTAAGCTGCAATTATGCATCATTTCCATGTGAAATATAACTCTAATAAAGCAAGAATTTCAGAGCAAGCAGAGCACAATTAGAAATGACAATTACAAATCTTTTAAAGAATTTTGCTGTAAGTTCAGAGAGAAAAATAAGCAGTTGCTTAGAAGAGCCTGAGGGTGTCACATGGGTTCTTTTCTTTCCTTTCTGTTTTGCAGGATGAGAAACAAGTTTGTGCAATACCTATGACATAAATGCACCTGGCATGTTTTAAAGTCCTGGGCTCTGCCCTGACTTACCAATCACATAAGGAAAAATGTAGATGTAGAAATGGTAAAGGCAGGTGGCAGGTTACCAGGTTAGGCAAGAAGGATGGGGTCTTAAAGGGCACAAGTGTAGACAGGAAGACAGACCCACAGTAAACCCTGGGAGGGCATAGATGAACACAGAACACAGATGTTGGTAGGCAGGTGGAAATCTCAGGGGCTATTTCCATATATTCAAGTCAATTTCTTACATTGCCTGTGTGAAATAGGAAGGGAGTTATCAACTGACTGAGGGAAGAAACAGGTTGAAGGAGACCAGCAGGTTTGGAATGGAATGTTGGAGAGAAGGAAGGTCAGTGGACCAGGGTTTCACCGAAGCTATTCAGGTAGCCTGTGCACTGCTCTCTAACCATATTCCAACACAGAGGAAGCATAGAGTCCTCTTCAGCCAAGTTTGAGGGATTTCCAGGAAAAAGAAAGGTAAAAGAGTTGGAGGTCTGTTTGATTGATGGCCTTCAAAGTTCCAGTTAAATGGGGAACAAACACATGAGGTGAGTTACAGAGCGTGGTGGCTTGGGGCTGAGAAGAAAGTGATGTGTGCAGTAGATCAGAGTTCCCAGCGGAGGGCGATGCTGTTGGAGGCCTGGAGTTGATGTGAGTGATCAGAAGGTGGGAACGATGAAGTAGCAGGGTAAGCTCACAGCAGAGCTGTGGCCACAGCAATGACAAAGTCTACGGCACAAGAAGGAAGCTGATAAATGAGGAGGCATGTAAGACCAGATAGTCAAAGGCAATACAAGCCAAAGAACTGGGAAGCCATGCTTTAGAAAGAATGTCGACTCAAATGTTCAAATAGCCAAGAATAATGAGCAGAGAAGTGTTGGAGGTAAAGACATTGATCTAGGTCATAGTGTTATCATGGGATGAGAAAGAGTGTCTCAACCCTTTCTCCTGGGCCAGGAGTTCCTACATCATCGAGATGCTATTTGGAGATGTGAAATCTGTAGCTTCATGTAGGATTTGTGTGCACATTGAACCTTGACATGACCTCTTTAAAGCCTTCCATCAGTGAAAGAGGTAGCCGGTGCTGTGCCAGTGAGGATTACAAGAGGGCGACCCATGGTCTGAATGCATCAGCGAGGAACAAGGGCACCTTGGGTCTAGAATGAGAAAGAGGGCCAGGGTGGGAAAAGAAGCACTGCTTGAAAGGGCTGTGCAAGCATTCACATCCTCAGTCAGTAAAGCTGGGTTTCAGTTAGGGGAAGGGGGGATGTTGGGTGTACAGGATGTGGCTAATGACTGAGCTTCAGGTGGCACAAGGGGCTGGAAACCAAGGCATTCTAATTTAACTGGGCAATGGTTCGCAAAACAAAGACTGCCAGATGACATCAATGAGCATCCGGAGTTGAGATACTTTACATGTCGGGAGGGTGAGTTGTTTCTGAGTACAGCGGTACTTCACCTGGGACGCACCTGAAGTTGTAGGTTTGGTTGTCTTGTTGGTGTGACCTAACCCTGACAAGAAGCAACTTAAGGGTAGAAGGTTTATTTTGGCTCACAGTTCAAGTGGGTACAGTCTGTCATGGTAAGGAGGTATGAACGGGTCACACTGTCTATAACCAGGAAGGAGGAAACAACCAGGAAGGGGAGGCACACTATAGAGCCTCAAGGCCAACCCCTAAGGACCCACTTCTTCCCGCAAGTCTCCTCTAGGTTCCACAACCTTCCCAGACAGCGCCACCATCTGGGGATTAAGTGTTCAAACAAATGAGCCAGACCGTCAGTCATCACCAACCCAGGCAGATGGTGAGCTTCCGAGTAGCTTCTACAGCAGATGAGTTGTCATGGAAAATAAAAAGAGCAAGATTAATCTGTGGCAGGGAGGGAAAAAAAGATGACCTGGCAGGAGGAAGTGGTGAGAACCATGTTCCAGATAGAGCTAGCAGCTCTTGTAGAAGCTTCAGGAAGAACCTGAGGACTCTGCAGGTGGATAAGGAAGCCCTCTCTCACTGGACCCGGTTGAGTTTGGGAGCCCCAGCATTGAGACTGAGGTGATGCCTAGAGAAACACTGCACTTGTCAGTGGGAGACACTGCTGCCTATGACAGAGACTCTCCCGGCTCTGTTCTCTACTCTCTGAATCCATAGCAAGGAGGATGGCATCAATCTTAGAACGAGGTTGGCAACCGTGGGGATGGCTTGCTATTGACTGCTCCACCTGAGCCATCTCTTCCTATTCTTTGAAAGCCTTCTGGAAAGATCCTGGTAGCTGCTTTTACATCTCTTGTTCCTACCCATTCTCTGCTGTGGTTTGAGTTTGATATGACCTTAGCTCTGTCACTCTGTCCAGAGTCTGTCTGTCTCTCTTCCACTTGTGAGAGTGATGCACTTCTTTTTATGGAAATCTTGGTGGTGGCTCCCCTACCAACAAATAGGCACACTACTTCCAGGCCTCAGGAAAACAATTACTTTTGAGTCCCTGAATGGCAAGGTCATCTGCTCTTACAGTTTCTTGCAGTAGCAGAGAGAAAGAAATAAAATAGGTTGGCTGGAGATGTTAGGAGCACATTCGGCAGCTGTGAAAATAAAGATCAGCAAAGGTGGGGACTACAGTAACTGGACCCCCAGATCCTATGGCATCTCCATCTGCTCCCACTGTTTTGACCAGACTCCTTGTTGAGTGGCATCACCCCGCATGTGTCTTTCATGTTAAGTGACCTTCCTCCAGGGTAACCTCATCCCTGCCCAGGGCACAGCGCACCTCTGAATGCAGATGAGATCGTGCATATGCAAGCACTCTGTAAAAAGCACAGCACCTCATGCATGCAAATCATTTTTACAAATTGCACACACTTATAGTTGTTGACTGTGGACCTTCCTCCATGGTCCAGCTCTGCCCTGAAACTCATCAACTTGGTATCTCAAGTGAGGTGACTCATTCACACAGTAGCTCAGACATGGTAGACTAGGCAGAGACATGGGTACCAAGTTCATTCAGTTCATACTTCCTCCTCTCCCCTCCTCTCCCTGTCATATGACCACACGTGTGTCTTCTCTATTTGTTACAATCTCTGTTTGCATATATAATCATTTGACAGATATGTTTTGATTTTCTTTCAATAACTCCTCACCACTTGAGGTACATTCCCAGACTGGCAAGTTGGCTAATTATTCTTAACTAAATTTTCCTTGCGTGTAAAATGATTTCTGCTTCACGGAATTGTAAGAACTAAATAGCTTTAAATAGCTAAAACATATAAATTAATTCAAGTGCGAAATAGTCAATATATGAAACTTGGTACATTAAGTTGTTCGGCTTGTTATAAGAGCAGACTGAACCCAGAGAACTCGAGTCATTGGAGATACAGCAGGAGAGGTTCTGAGTCTCCATCGGCAAGCTGGTGTTAATACCGAATCTGCCGGCTTACATATACCGTCTTCCCTGGTGTTCTGAAAGCTTCTGTCTGTGTTCGTTAGCCTCCTCTTCCTACCTCTTTCTGCTTTGTGTTACCTGCTTCATCTCACAGCAAACCCAAATCATAGAAACTTGCATACAGAGCACGGTGCTAATAATTACCTTGACCTCTGCAGCAGCCTGGAGAGAATCATCATGTTTCAGGCTGTTCCTGGAAACAGCCAACACCATTGCTGCCTCCAGGCCCTTTGCGCTTGGGGGTCCATTTACCCAAAGCATTCTCCCTCTGTGTATCAGTGTGATGTCCTTACAAAGGTCCTCCTGGCTGTGTGGAGCATCGCCATCATCGCTGCCTCTGCCCGCATCTTTCTTCATGGAATTTTGTTACCTGGCATGCAGCTATGTCTCGGTTTACCCACTTTTCCAAGCAGAATGCCACCTACCTGAGGGCCAGGCTTTGAATGATCAGTCCTCCAAGCGTGTGTGACAGACGGTGAGAATCAGGAAGTTATTGAAGGGGTAGGTCTATTCTGAAAATGAGAACAAGGTCCAGAGCCTGGCCCTGGTCACTGAGGGTAGAGAACCAGGGAAAGCCTGTCCCGTGCCTCTCCTCGACTGGCACAGCTCTCACTCTTTATACCCACACCCCAGTGGACTTTCTGGACAGACATGTGTGATGGGTTCACACTCAGTTGAGGCCCCAAGGTCAGGCATCTAAGTCTACCGCAGGTCTTCTTGGTTATCCTTCTTACAATGAGGTGGGGCTCTGCAGGGAA